GGTAGTCGTCACATTGCCGTAACTTGCCATAACTATAGTAAATAATATCAGATATAGAAAGTTACGGCAATAATGCCATAACTTTTTATATCATTTACTATAGTTACGGCAAGTTACGGCAATGTGACGACTATCATTGGGACGATTCTACGGCATCATTAATCTCGATACTGACATCACGCGACGTGACGATTAAAAATTTAAAGTCTGACAATGATTGTTAATGTGATTATTAATCTTTAAATATTAATTGTCACGTCGGGATTATGGTTTTCGAGATTTTGGATGTCGGGATTTTGTGGTAAAACCGATGTAGACTAAAGTTAACCATTCTAATAATATACAATTCTCTTTAAAATATTCAACAACTAATGGTTTTTTTATTTATATAAATATGTATTAAAAAAAATACAGTATTATAGAACTATAAGTATTTGTATTAAATATAACGACAAAATGTAAATATTAAGTAAAATATCAAACTCATCCATTCGCCTTGTACTTGATTCCCACCCAAGATATTAAATATTACAATAATAATACTAGTAGAAATAATCTTCAATTATTATAGTATGATTTATTAATTTCGACACGTTTAACTAGGCATGTCTATAATCATCTGCATATTATTGGTATTGCGAATTTGCATATTATTGGTATTGCGCGTTTGCATATTAGTTGTATTGCGCGTTTGCATGCGATTGGTATTGCGGACTTCTATTTCATTGATCATATTTCTTTGAGTCGCGATATATCGAGATCTGTAAATCGCGCCAGGATGTATAGAAGATTTTTCGATACGTTTCATATTTCTATCAGATTCATCAAATTGTTTACGAATTTCTGAAGGTTCATTAGTCGATATATATTTCTTGCACTCATTTCTCCATTGTGTGAATATATCATGCAATACTTCAACTGTTGGTCTTTTATTATGATCTTTATCCCAACACATTTTCATCAATTCCTCATAACATTTTGGTGTATTCTCTGCAATTTTTGGACGTAATCCATCAATAATTTCCCATTTAAGACTTACATCATGTTCACGGTCAGAATATACCGGTTTTCCGGATGAAATCTCCCACATAATAATGCCAAATGAATAAATATCCGTTGCTTTGGTAAATTGCTCTCCACGCAACAATTCTGGAGCAATGTATGGTAATACTCCATATACACCCCCCGAATTAGAGGAGCTAGAAATTCCAGCGCTGTTTTCAGAGGATGTTTCTGGATTGTCATAGAGAGAAAGTTCCATTCCTGCTTCTGGGCTTGTTGGACAAGAGAGTCCCATGTCAGCAATGTACGGGATATTCATTTCATCTATTAATACATTTCCAGAGTGTAAGTCTCGATGAATGAATCCATTTTCATGGATGTTATAAAGATCTTTTACAATATCGATTAAAACAATAAGCTTTTCTTCCCAAACTTCTTGTGCTAAATTATGCAAGTTATGACGTAAATCGTGTTTTGGCATATAATCCAATACGAGAATGTAACATCCAGTTTCTGGGTCCCTAGAAATCCCATAACATCTAAGAAATCCAAATTTTCTATTCTCAAAGCATTTATAATATGCTTTCAACTATGTAAATTTTTTTAAAAATTTTAATCACTTTTGACCTCAATTTGTTGAAAATTACTTTATAACAACTTTACAATACCTCATTCATAAATTCATCAGAAATATTTTGGGATCCTTTAAGCACTTTGAGGGCGACTACCCCGTATATTTCTTCCCAATAAGCAGAATAAACACTGGCGAATCCTCCCAATCCAACTTTTTTAATATTGGAAAATTCGTTGTAAGAAATCCATTCTAATGGATAGGTCGATGTATCTTGACTATATTGAATAAATTTATCAATCTCGGGATTCCCACTGGTCCAATTCCTTGGTGATTCAGAACTACTGGATTGTCCCATAACCGCAAAGAGGGAAATATGCTACACTTTTGGTTAAGGATAGTTTTATGAATTGTTTCATCATCAAAAAAAGTATCACCTAATAAAT